TCAATTTTCTCTCAAATACATCTATTCCTAATCCTTTCATGTCTAATGTGTCTACTCACAGAACGCAACATTCTCATCTCCAATACAATGAGTTTATTTTCTTGTTGGGTTTTTGTTGCTAACATTCAGTCCCATATAACATCCAAATTGGTAATGATTATTCGAAAATTATATATCATTGTCAACACTATCTTTAAAAAGGAAATTATATAGGCATTTTACACTCATTCACATTGTATTTGAACAAAAAACTTCCTTTGCTCACTACTTTATTTGAAATTTAAAAAAAAAATCAAGTGATGCCAAACAACAATGAAAGTGAATTGAACACTTCAAATTTGCTCTGCCACAAATACAACGTCCAAGTTTGTGTTAGTTCTGTCCAGTGTGTTCATGCTTAGACAACATGAAACTAATTCAAAGCTAAAATATATAGTCACAGGTTTATAGAATGCTTTCAAATGAAACAGTTCTGAACCATTATTTTTAGTTTTCCAGAGTCCACTTAAGATTGCATGTGATGCAACTATCAAATTAAAGAGTTAAGGATAAATTATATGCAACATCCCTCAATAAAGAAATATTCGTATGATGCAGTTGAGAAGTGTACAACTTATAAAGTATATGTAAGACTAGATTAACGATCACTAACACATACCAAGCTCTTGAAGGTTCACATCAGGAGCCAGAAAGGAATTCTCCTTCATCTTGTTAGTATGAATTTGAAGAATTTGCAATCTACCATTTTCATCAGGAAGGCTTATCTCAACCTGCACCTCCAACCGCCCTGGTCTATAAAACATAAGCAAACGATAAATAACTAAAAGGTATGCACCACATTCAGAAATAGCTACTATAATCAATAGCAAGCAATCAAAATGGCAAGAGAATGTTCACAATTCCAGTGCATGATAATCAATAGCATATCTTTGTTGACTGACTACATTTATACTTCCCATAAATAATATTCAAATATCTTGAACAGGGAAATGTAGAGACCTTAAGAGTGCTTCATCAAGCATGTCCTTTCTATTGGTCATTCCAATAAGCAAAACATTATTTAGAGACTCCACACCATCGATCTGCAAACCAAGCAAATAGTTTCTCAGATTGACTGACAACTGCTATATGAAAACTATTACTTTCATTAAAAAAACAAGAATTTATTACATTCACTGACCTTGGTAAGAAGCTGGTTCACAATGCTATCATGAACTCCAGTACCATCTCGAGTCGAACCTCTTGACTGCACAAGACAAGAAGAGGAACATGGTGTGGTTATAAGTATTGTCATTACAAGTGCATTTCCTTTAATCACAATAATCTTCAAATTCAATGCTTGTCATCACAGAGAAATACATGCAATAATTTCATGCCCCAGAATGAAATGTCATCATATTCCCAATGATCATGCTAATGTATGGGCTCAGAGAACTAATGATAACACATTTTCAACTAGTTTAGTACATGAAAACAAAATTTGCACGAAATTGATAGTGACTGCAATAATGAAATGAAAGTTAAAGCTAAAATCTACAGATAAAAGATAAAGATTCCACCATTTAAGGCAAACTCAACTGTTGCATATTAATGTCAATCAACAAATTGACAATAGCAACACAATGGATTATTCATGTTGATCTAAAGTTGAGAAATATCATACCTTACAAATAGCATCAATTTCATCAAAGATTATAACATGCAAATCGCTTTCATCACCTGGAAAAATAGTGAACCAAAAAAAAGAGAATTGTCAGAAATTTAAACTTAAAGTACATGCAATGCTTATATATCCATCACCTCGGGTCCTCTGCTCCTGTTCAGCATCAGCAAAAAGGTCCCTCACATTCTTTTCAGTTTCACCAACAAATTTGCTCAAAACTTCAGGGCCATTTACAATCTAGTACAGGTCACAGAAAAGAACTAACATTCATCAACTGTCAAAAAGATCATTATCAAATACCAACCTATAGAAAGCAAACTTACACATTTTCCATATTCCAATTTCAAAATCATTCAAACAAGTCAATTAGTTAAGGAATCTCGAACAAGCCAAAAAGTTTAAACAATTACACAAAATCCGGTAAGTGTAGAAGAGATAAAAGCAAGATGAGATTTGAAATGAGCTCAGGGAAAGATACACCAATCCAAATAAGATGAATGCAAGCCACATCCCAAGAAATAGACATGAGTGGACTACGAAAAGGGGCAAGATGTATATAACTAGATATTCAAATTTATCACATAAGTGCAAGGAGTAATTTCTAAACCTTTGGTTCCTTCCCGTTCAAAATTTTTCCAATTTGACGTGCCATAAGGGTCTTTCCAGTTCCAGGAGGCCCATAAAGAAGCATGCCCTTCACATGTTTGATCCCTAATCTGAAATATCAAATGCTTCCAAGTAAGAACATGATACATTATAAAACCAGAGGATTAAATGGGCCAAAGTATCTGATTTATTACTTAGATGTAACATGGGGAGGAAAAACACGAGACGCAAAAGCTCTTCGAAATATATCTGCAAACTCGGCACTCAGGCCTCCAATGCCCAGAGACTCAAGATTAAACTCTTTCTGCTTAAAAATGTTGCTAGTGGCAGCCTCTCGCTGATTGACAATCTGCAAATAACAGCATAAACCAATAAAAATGCAAGAATAAGTGTAATAAATAGAATATAGTTTAATAAGTTATCATAACAACTGATTATTGTACGTAGCAAAGTATTGACTGTTATCTCACATGGAGCACATATAATATTGATCAATACTAAATTACTGGATTTAGCTTTCCTGAACATGTAGAAAACATTATCTGATTTTTTTAAATGAATATTCTAAAATCATGGTTAGCCAAACAATCGCCAGATCACCATTATGGAAATTAAGCATCAAAGGATAGTTAAGCTATGTAAGAATTGAGAATGTACAAGAAAAGAACAGAGCAAAACAGTTAATGTCAAAAGCAAATAAAGAAATCACCTTAATTCCACTATCGCGTGCTGTTTCGAAAACAATATATGTGTCATCTGAAACCATCCCTCTTTCAAGAGAATTAGACTTTTCTTGTCCCTCAACAGCAGCTTGACTGACTGTAAAGTTATAATTATTTCCGTGATACTCAAATAACACTTTCTGCCCTGCTGTCATAACCTGCATAAAATAAGATCCAAATTAAACAAGGGTATAGTACATCAAACAAAAAGAATGTACATAATATGAGGTAACAGAGGCAACTAGAATCAGAATGTTCCCAACCTTCCTAGGAATTAGGAAATAAATTGACAAATCATTGAAAGAGTGTGTGATAAGAGAAGAAGGTTAGACACATAATAACATGCATTAGACATCAAAACAACAAGATCATGTGCAATCTGATGAACAATACAATAATATGTTGTCTCATCCAACTATATGTAACTCATGATTCAAGTAAAAATACTATGAAAGGGAATACTATAAAAAGGAAAACGATATATCCTCCTACTAAATCCTCCTACTAATCCTCCTACCCACAAGAAAGTGACATATGTCACTTGTAAACCAATCACTAATAAATAAAGTATCACTTTATGACATATGTCACTTTTTTTTGGGTAGGAGGATTAGTAGGAGGATTTAGTAGGAGGATATATTTACTTAATACTTATTACTGATTACTTAAAAAATAAAATAAAAATAGCAATAGTTGCGTTAGCATAAACATTGTAGAGTAATTATAGCTTATTGATCTATTTAACCATATTACTATGTATTTATATAGTAACTGTTTCTGACAAGTGCAGTGATAGACACTTTTTATACAAATAATAACAAAAGAAGCAGCACAACAACCAGATACATTTTCTTTTCTGTTGTCCAACAGTGAATAATCTAGGCAAAAAGTTTTTAGAATATAATTCACCAATTAGTACTATTAACATCTAGCAACCATAGGACTCTGCGCTTGAGTTTAATAACTAGAAACACATGGCAAGCATTTGATAAATCAAAAGATAACCAATAGTTAATAAACAATAACTAGCAAACCGTCAGAATTAGCTAACTAATGGGCATAAATAGCCTTGTGAAAGATCCTACACCTGATTTATAAATCTCTTCCTAAGTTGTTTAGCCAGTTGAACAGCATCAATCTACAAGAAACAGCAGCATCAGCAATTTTAAGATGAAGCAATCCATAATGAACTTCTTTCAAATCAACTTACCTGTTCACTCCTGTTCCCCCTTTTAATGAAGTCCAATTCAAGGGTTAACATTGCCAGGTTGAAGTGGTCAGGTGGCAAGAATCTAAAACAACATACAAATCATAAGAATCTAAAATAGGTCAACACTAATACACGGGTAGATTCAAAGGGACAGTTGTTGTGCACCAACCCTATTCTTTCCCATCTAGTGGGATTAAGGCTTGGTTGTTGTTATATTAAATGCATGTATGTAGCAGTATTTGCAATCATGTCAAATATACAAGCTCTTGCACTAATTTGTAATTTGCCCCCTATTATTCTTGTAAAATTATATAACCGTTAAGTTAACAAAGGTGTAAATCTGATACACTCATTTTTACATATAAACAAAAGATTGTCCTCAACTTAAACATAGTATATATGATTAACTTATATTAAAAGTTCAAAACATCTACTTAAATATCTTAAGATTTAGTGAAAACGTCCATTTTGGTCCTCCAAATATATACTTAACATCACATTGCTTCTCCATTTATAACGAATTAGCAACATGAAAGAGATCCTTAGAGTTCCACTAAATTGATCACCACTACACAAAACTAATGAAATTAATTGTCATTTAGGTACCAATATGCCTATAAAATCAAGGTTTAATCCAAACTTTTATAATTGCTGCCCTCTGTAGCTAATTTCAGATCCATCCCTACTACTCCGCTAGTAATAGTAATAATATGTCAAAAACAAATGAGTAAAACAAACAAACCTGGTGACAGGGATGGATTCAGCAGCAGAAACTTTAACACAACGACGTTGAATGGAATTCAACGCGATTTGGCCACTTCGTATGGTTTCATGACCAGTATGTCTCAGTTAAGGCCACAAATTAACAAACAAACCATTAATCCAATCCAATTTTCCACTAATCAGCATTTTCATAATTAAACACAACAAAATAAAAAATAAATACTACGCTTCAACAAAATGTATGGAAATGTTATAAAATAAAAGGATATGAGAGAGAGAAAACGAATGAATCGCCGACGAGAGCAAGGTAGAGACCGTTGGAACCGGTGACGGAGAAGTTAGGAAGATCGGAGGGGGAGCAGAAGGCGAAGTTGGTGAGAGCGAGGTCCTGAGAGGGAGTATTGGTGACGATCATGTTGATGGAAGCGGAAGATGATGAACCGAACCAACTCGACATTTCTGTGTGGTTTAGGATCAGATTCAGATCTTTGATTTGCAGATCAGGTCATAAAGGAAATGCCAGCGCGGGGAACAGAAATGCTGCTTTGCGATGCTATTTCTTTTTCCTTCACTCTTCGGCCTTAAGGAATTTGGGATTTTATTTTACTTCCCGACAGCAGAAAAACGGAACGTAATTATACTTATGGACGAATATATAAAAAAAACATATTCAGAACAATTGTATACAACTTTTCTATATTTGATCATCATCTATTATTCTTCAAAATAATTGATATAAATTCAGAGAAAATATATGTATAAATTTGATACATTATTAATATATTATCTATCATTTACATTTTATCATTATTGATTCTGCAAAAAAAGTAATACAAATAAATATTAGATAATATAGTAATCATATATAAATTTAGCAATGTTTAGATATTACACTTATACAAATTATTGTTTTTTTAAATGGAATAGTTCTTTCTACCTAATGAGAAACATAATGTTACATATAAAAGACTTTTTTACTTCAACTCAAACATTAACTTAAATTATGAATGGGAAAAAGATATATATATATATATATATATTCACATTATAAAAGTTTTTAATATCATCGTGACATTATTCACAATTCATTTTAATAATTATTGACTTTTAAATAAAATAATATAAATAAATGGGGATGATGTAACGATTGAATGTAAATTTTGACCATGTCAATATATATATATTTTGTTTGGAACTAAATTATACTATTTTTTTTATAATGAATGAATCTAATCCAAAACTGAAAATTATACCAAAAATATATATTCTAAAATCTAAACTATGAATCAACTTTAAACAAATTAAAAAAAAGGTAATATATATAAATTATTAGTTTAAATATTTATATACACTTATCTATTATTCATTTGTATTTTGATTTTTTTAAAAGTGATAATAATTTAAAACGCATAATAAACTCACAAAAGTATAAAACTCTTGTACCTGTAGCTCATACATTTATTTATTTACTTATTTTTCTAATTAAAAAGTTCCAGAAAAAATACTTGCAATTATAAATACAGCACCAACGCGAAACTTTTGAAAATTGAGAACGTAACAATTTGAGCGCGCGCAAACGCTCTAGTTTCTTTCCCAACTCAGAAACCTTCTCATCTCTGAGCTCCACTCGCAATGTCTGCAACCAAGTCCAGGAAGCGAGGATCCGAAACCGATCGAACCAAATCTGACAAGAAGAACCGATCGGCAACACAGAATCTTGATTTCGATTTCGATCTCTCCAAGTTCGTCTTCCAGTTTTTCTTATTTCTATTTCTTTTTGTTTTGTTGGATTCATAATCAAAATTTCTTACATAATGCGAATCCGTGCTTCAAAATTTTGCAGTGATATCAAAGGAATCGTGTCGGCGCTGCAGCTGATAAAAGATAAGGCTCATAAAGATGACCAGAAGAAGAATCAAGAGACTATTTTCAGGTATTTGTGTTTGCGTTTCAATCGCATATGAAACGTTTCGCTTAATCGTTTTGCCATATGTTGAACTTTGAACGTTATAATTAGAATAATTCTGAAATTCAAATGTTCAGGATGCTTCGAAGGATCTAGATTTTGTTTCTTTTTTGTACTGATCTTCGATCTTGGATTCTGAGATATTTACTTGTTTACTTTTAGAAAAATATTATATTGTTGACTTATAAAATTGAATTCAAATGAGAGAATTTCCTGAAAGGAAACTGTAAAATTTGTTATAGACACCATTTATTTGTGATTGGTGGTTTTTGTTTGTTGTAGTGTATCCTCTGAGATCAAGTCTATGATTGAGGAAATGAGGTCCAAATTTGAGAAAGACAGGTAATCATAATATAGAATATGCTAGAAATCCTAAAACTCTGATTAAGCCACACTTCTAATTTGTTCTATTTGAGTGAACTGAGGAACTTTCAATATCAGGCAAAGTTTTGCTAAGGCGCTTTCAAAGAGTTCCAAAGAGGTTTGTAGATGGCAACATGGTTTGTGCATTATATTACTGATAACTGAGTCATAAGTAGTAAGGGGATTATGTGTTGCCGTAGATTTGTTTGATTTTTGTTTGTGATTTCGAGCATGCAGTATGAGAATTCCTTGAAGAACGAAACTGCTAAGTTTCAAGCACTTCATGAGAAATTCTCCAAGGAAAAAGCCACTTCTCTGAAGGCCTTGAAAGGTACTCACTCCCTGTAACTTTATCATGGGTGAACTAATTAGCATAATATGTTATGAACTTTGTACTATAATGATTATGATTATGAAAAACAGTTCTCCCTTAGCAATTTCCATTAGTTACAAAATTCCACGAACATCCACTCAAGCCAAGTGATATGGCTGAGCAAAATTATATTTTAAAAGTATTCACTATATTTAGGCTTGAGTCTATTTCCCTACAACTTGGAAGTTTGAAATTGATATATTTTGTGACTATTTCATCAGTTAATTTACATAATGTGTTTATCTTTTAGTTCCTATGGCTATCTCAATTTATCTTTAAGATGCTCAAAATAAATACCTTATATAATACTTGTAAACAGATGTATAGACGTAATTTATGATTGTTCTTTAGTTATGTTATAATCAATCTTTTTATAAAGTCCCAATCCATAAGAAATGTTCCAGAAAATGGAACAAGGTCAATGTAACAGAGGTTGAGGGTATGTATATTGCACATTCATTGTCAGTGCTGTCTACTTGATTCTTCTATTAGTAGTTTTGGTTTTTGACCCTGCACATTCATGGTTTGTCCAGTCTTCTATTTTTATTTGTGAGTTTGAATTAACTTATCTTGTATACACACACAACTTTTTAGTCAAAAGTTTCTTGGACTCGAAGAGAAAACGATATTTTCCTAAAGTAAAAAACGTTTCCAAAACTGCAATGCATAAGTGTCTCGATTGCTGCCCCTTCGTGCCAGAGACGATAATTCCTAGCCTAGGCAAATATCTTATGCATAGCTAGGCAGATTGAGGAATTTATTCTGGTAACATGTGTCAATTTCAGAAATGAAGGAAATCAATCTGAATACTTTAAGCTGGTTGTTCTGAAAAACGCTCAACTTGAGTTGGTTCTAATCAAAATACCATCCCAAAATCTTGGTCTTGTCTTTGAACATACAGAATGAACATGCATATGTTTTAGATGATATAAACATACACTTTATTGGTTAGATGCTAATTACAGCTGTTGGTTGAGTTTGACAGACATTATCTCCAAATTTGAAGAGGAGAAGGAAAATCTATTCAGTAGATACGAACAACTGAGTAAGCTACTCAATTTCATCGGTCTTTATGGAGAGAAAAAACAACCCCAATATACTACTTTGTTTAAGCTTCAACCATTTTTTTTCTTTTTAACTTGGTGCATTTTTCAGGGAAGAAAGAAAGAAGTACAATATCCCAACAAGAAAAGACATGCAAAGAAAAGATTGCCCAATTGGAAGAGTCACTGAAAAGGAAGAAACAGGTCTAGATTTTCCGCACATTTTTATCTATACCTGTCAACTGTCATATCTCACAGATTGCTCAGTCAGGCACAAACATTTCTTATCGATTACTTTTTGTCTCACAGGACGATAAAACTTTCAGCATTTTAAGGAAAACTCTGGGTTCATTCTTGGAAAGTGCCTCGGATGAGGATTTCCCACCTGATGATTGAAAATTGTGATACATAGAGGTTTGCGATTCAGTCATAATCACTTATCCTGTTCAGATATGCAATAGATAGACTCCTTTGACAATTTTTGCATACAAAGTTCTACTCCCAATCCTACATTAGTCTTATAATTAAAAACAGCTATGAATATATAATATGCCTACAACATAAACTCAGTGCACGATGTGCTTACACTTGAATATATTTTCACCCAATTTGATACTTTACCCCAATTGATGCTGTTTCCCTACGCTGCAGTCTGTTTTTTCTATTTCCCTCTGGGGAGGAGTTCTTTTTCTTATGTTCAAACAATGGAGGACGCCTAATGTGATCCAGCACAAAAAACATGGACGGGATTATTGTTTAATTAATTAAAAACTTCAAAATAAAGTCGCATTAATCTATTTGGGTGTCTTGGTTTTTCTATGTGGAAGTTATACACTCCAGTATTTGCCATCCCAAAATAAATTAACTATTCACTCATTAACAGCAGCACATCATGTAGAACTTTTATGCATAATCCTAAATTCAATAAATCAATCAGTCTTCGAGAAAAATAATATCAATCACAATGTGTAGATTCTATACTGTGTCTGTGTGTTTTCATCCTTATTCCCTTGAGGCTTTGACCAAGAACTTCCTAGAAAGAATGCCAAAATTTTCACGTAAAGTACAACAATAAATCAATAATGCATAAAATCTTCACGTAAAAATGTGTAGGTGCAAGATGAACTTCCCATACTTTATTTCTGTGAGAAATTGATATAGTATCATATATGCCTTTAACTAACAAGGAAAACGACAGGAACTAATATAGAATTTTTTGAGATCTTAAAACCTGACTAAGAATCAACGGATTTATGTTCAAACATTGAACAACTAAATAGAACATTATAAAAGGAAGAACTCTGTAATAAATCCTACAAAACCTGGCTAAAGAATGGATGGTTGAAAATTTCCACCTAACATGAATTTCCAGATGCAACAGGACCTTATCAGGTATACAATCATGCTCATAACATGGGGCACCCAACCTCGAAACTCCCTGAGATAGATAGCAATTACTGCTAACAACCAAGGTGGAGCATCCTTTTTATGCAGGAACTGCAACCTTTTCATGTTCCTTCTAAGAAACTTTTGAAGGCTTTTCAACCACTAAATTCTGAGGTTTCTCAATTCCTTCAATATTGGTTATCCTTAACTTGGTCAATTCCTGGAGATGATAATAAAGCATCAAACAGATTTAATATTACAAAAATTGTTATGGAATTACATCAGATTAATAATTAATTGGTTTCCAACACACCTGGCGATGCCCTTTGGTTCTTCGGTAATTCTTCCTTCTCTTTTTCTTGAAAATAATTACCTTTGCATCTAATGCCTAATATAAAAGGAAAATGAACAAACATGCAATTAGAAAAAATAATAGTAATAGCGA